AAGATAAGCCTTTAAGCCTCAGATGATATATTTTTTTCCCAATAGCCAAGCACCATCTGGTTTCTTCACCACACTTTTCTATAGCATTCAGATCTTCAGTGATCTCCTCATGGGGGTGAGCATTGAGCAGTACTATGAGACTGTAAGTCTTTATGGGAGTAGAAAAACCTCATCTTTATCCCAAGGAGTGGCTGGTGGTTTTGAACTGCTAACCTTGCGGTAAGCAGCCCACAGCAGTAACCCCTCCAGGGCTCCTATTGAGGCAATGAATAAGTAGATCTTGGTGGGAGCAATGATTAATGATTGTTGGAGGGCTGGAATAACTGTCCATTTTGTCTTCACAACCACTGTCAACAGTGGTGGTGTTTTCAACAATTTATTATCAAATCTACTCAGATTTATTGAGTGGCTACCTATAGACACGAATCTGTAATGGTGTAATTGCTTTTCTGAGGATCCATATGGACGCATTGTTGATCATTCTGTCAATTCACCATTGATTTGAAATGAATCATATACCTGTGAAACAGTTTACCACGCATGCCGCACATTACGATCAGAAGCTTTGTAGCCTCTAAAATCAAGTCTGAAGTTAAACCTCCTTCCTACTAACTTTGTAAAATTAGAGACATGTTAGCAAAAGGATTTTCAAAGAGATTGAGTTAGAAAAACAAAAAGTAAAACACTCACTTTAGATGAAGAAGACAATCAGGGGGTTGGTAGCCTGGTTGCAGGTCACTTGTTCCCTGAGCATTGGAGAATTAGGTGGCTGGTGCCACTGGTCACGCTCCTCACCTCATGACCACAGAAATGTCTCTCTTGTTACTGAAATTACCTAACTCTACGTTTGGGGGCTTCCAGACTCCTTCTTTTGCCTGCTTTGGTGTGGGCACTTTTATCTCTTTAATTAGGAATCCCACTGAAGCAACACACCTCAAATCTCCAACTTGACTTTGGCCAGAGCAACCCGATGCTTAGCTAAAACATCCTCATTACCTATTGTTGACTTTCAGATCTTCTCTTCCAGAGCAACTCGGCAACATTTTGAAATCCTATCCTGTGTTACCTCTGATGCAAATACTTTGTGCTTCAATTTAAAATGAGATATTTACAGTGAGTCAGATAATTTTGTTCATGGAAGAAAGCTTGTACCTAGTGAACAGTGTGCAATTTCTCAGAGGAAAGATTGGATTTTCATAAGACAGACTGATTTCCCATGAAGGAAATTCCCAATCTAATATAAATGCATTTATATACAAAGGTAAACCATCGAAGAAGACTTCCTCATAATCTTCTTCTATATATTGATTTAGATTATCAGCATTATGACATCCAAGTGATTCGATTCATTTATATTCAATATGATGCCAGTTACATAAATAAATAGGCAAATATACTGACACAAAGACACAGAAAAAGAATGGCAAGAAATATTCCAAAATGTTAACAGTACCTTCATCCAAATTATCAACAGTGTTTCTCGTTAAATAATTTTGAAATACTTTGTTTTCTTCTTCAATAAATGGAAACAATTATCATTCATATATAATTTTTGCATTTTTATTGTGAGAAAATGCAGTAACATCAAACTGACCATTGAAACCATTTTGAAGTCGAGTGACATTGAGCCCATTCACAATGTGCAACTACCAGGACATTTTCATTGCTCCAAATGGAAGTGCCGTATCTATTAAGGAATCGCTTCCTGTTCCCTCCTTCTCCCTGCCCAGTAGCTGCTGAAAACTATTAAATGGCTTTACAAAAATACAATAAAGAAGTGTGTTTTACTATATAATTTAATATTATTATTGTATTATATAATTATATAAGTTCAGAAGTAGAGTGACCTTCAAGGTAGTTGATGTAATGACTTAACTATGCAAAGATCCAGAACCTTTCCATTTTTTTTAATATAAGAAACTTGTTTCCAAGAATTTGCCTGTTCTGAATATTTTCTATTGATGTGTCCAGTTCCTTTCACTTAGCATACTGTCTTTCAGGTTCATTCATGGTGGAGCATGTGTGAGTACTTCCTTCCTTTTTTATGGTTGAATAAGTTTCTTACAGAGCTGTATGGAGTCCATGGGCAGCTGGTGCAGATCAGCGCGCAGTTAATAACCTCGGCACTCTGATGTAAGGCCTGGTCATCTGCTTTCAAATGGCTCCGGCCTTAAAAATGCTCTGAGTGCAGATCTACTGCACAACACACACGTCACCATGAGCTGGCATCAACTTGATGGAAACGGTTTGGGGCTATGGTTTTTAATATGGACACACCACATTTTCTTTATCCAGTCCGCAGTTGATGAACATTTGGGCTGTTCCCACCCTTGGGGTATTATGTATCAGGCTTCTATGAAGAATGTTCAGGCACAAGGTTTTGTTTGAACACCTCCTTGGAGAGTCATATTAATAAATGATTTTTAAAATGTCTTTAATTCTACTTTGGCATTCTTGTGTTAAAGTAATGCTTTTTCAGAGTTATAAAGGACAACACACAGAAAATCATTCCTACAATAATGCCATTTCATTTTTATTCATTTCCTAAATCTCATATATATCCTAGTACTTAAAAAGGTAATTTTCAACCTTACTCTTTGGGAACAAATTTCTCTTATGTCAAATACTGTTCCCAATGACAAAGTAATGAGGAAGGTAATCTTTTCCTCTTACCAATAGCCATCTTAGCAGGACTTAATTCACATTTAAATGCTTATATATGAAAAACATAAAAATAGAGGGGAATACATTTTCATTTTGCTTCAACAGGAAAACATAATAGACACCAATATTTGAGTTCCACTGAATATACTAAGCATCACATTCCAAAGGGCAGTATAGAATCTTCTAGAAACTCATGCTCACAGATAATGACCAGAGATGATAAATACACCCTGAAAGACTACACAGTAGCAATTCATAAGTGTTTTAGCTCCCATTCTCCTAACAGAATAGTGATACAGCTCATGAACATAAAAAAGTACACGCATACAGATTTTAGCTGTAGACAGTGCTTTAAGTCGGCTAAAGAGGATGATGTATATTCTGAGCTCAACCTTAACTCTGGGGTTCCCCATTTTTCCTTCCCCCAAACATATGCACCCACATATAGGGTTCACAGCTGTCTATCTCTCAGACCCAGTACACGTGTGCAAACACACACACACACACACACACACACACACACACACACACTCCAGAAAACAAATCGAATGCTGGCTAAAACAGCAGCAGCACCCTTATATCAGTGAAAGAGAGTCATCCCAAACTATGGCAATTATTAGTAAATAGGGGATATATTTGGGGGCAATTGAAAAATAAATCACTGGGAAACACTTCCATAACATTGGTAGACCTCTACTTAAGAAAAATTAAAAAAGGAATAACACATTTACATAAAAATATAAATTAGCAGATGTTCATTATACAACAGGCTTTTCTACATTCCAAATTTACTAGGATCAGCATTCTCATTTTTTTTCTTCATGAGAAATCATGAGATGGTTTCATGATCTGATCATGTCCCCCCACAAAATCACAAAAGTTAGGAGAAACATTTTCTTTCTACTCTCTGTGGCAAAAAGTTTATCAGTAGTTCTGCCATAACAGCAATAATTTATAGTGTTGGGTTTTTTCCAATGAAGATTGGGAACTGAATGTGGAAAAACTATATTGCAGTGCAGTGAGTTGTCAAAAATCTCACTAGGAATCAGGGTACAGCCAAAAATAAAATAGAAGTCCAATGAATTGTCCACAAGGCAAAATATCTTAGTTACTAGGGGAGATGCTCCTTTTGAAAAAAAACACAAAAAACAACAGGGCAAGGCATATTATAATGATTAGTGCAATTTATGAGTGTGAAGGAGAGAATGAATGCTATGCATATCCCTGATTTCCCATTGTTCTAGTCTTGTTATTGTTTCCTTGTGAACTATGCTGTGCCAATAAACCTTGGCATCCTCCTAGTCTATGGTCCTTCCTTTCATTCTTATAGCCCTTATTTCTTTAGACTCATTATTGCTCTCTGTTAAGAGATGATATGGTGTTTTATCTCCAAGACAGAGTAGAACTGCTCCCCTGGGTTTCTAAAGCTGTACATCTTTACAGAAACACAGCGCCTTGCCTGTTTCCCTCAGAATGGCTAGCGGTTTTGAACGACTGACCTTTCTGTTAGTAGCCCAATGCCTAATGCACAGCACCACTGGGGATGCCTGAGGCATATTCTGGCAGGAGCCAAATCTGATCCCTTTTGCGCATGTAAGACAGTGCCTTGAATAGAGTGGGCGCTTGTATGGGGTGTGTTCAGGGATAAGGTTTCATAGACATATATTCAATTACCACTGCCCCCCACCAGCTAAGCAAATGATGGTGAGTCCCTCTGCATGTCAATACCAAGCCAACTTCATATACTTAAGGATAAAACAAAGAGAATCGATAGTCTACTCTAATAATGGAAAGACACAGACACCCCAGCTACAACCTTAATTGTATGTTAGTTGTGATTAAGTGCATAAATTAAGGTAGAGAAGAATGAATTAGCATTATTTAACGCTAGTTAATCAACACTCTATTATTATCCAGGAGCTGATTTCCCCAACTGGTGTATGAGTATGATCCTGTTTTGCTCGTTTCTTGCATCCTGTGACCATCGAATCACGTGGCGACGGTTATGCCAGAGTGTCTAGGAATAATGGAAGTATGAGGAAAAATAAACTCCAATCAATCCTTCTTGGGAGCTCATCACAGCTCTTTTGAGGTGCTCTGGTAAAAGGTGTTGGAGAAAAGGAGAGACCAACTGCAGTTTGGGGATTACACAGTTCTACAAAGGTCCTTCACACATATCCCCCTGACCAGCTGTGCTTTTATTGAACTGTGTGACCCTCGGCTGCCATCATAATAATAATAGAGAATGAGTTGAAAGATTAATTTTCTGCGCCAAATTTTTAATATCTACTCAAGATTTACCTTCATGGTGCTTTAAAATTCTTCGACAGTCTTACCTCCCAATCCAAATAATCACAGACATCTTCGAAGTTAGTGAGCAGAGACACCGAGCAGAAAAGCCGTGGCAGCTCGCCCCTTGTCATTGGGGGGAAACGGCTATCTTTAAGGGCACTGTTGGAAACAAAACAAACATCAAAGCAATCACTAGATACACAACATTTCCTAATGTCAAAGGCAGCATTCATTTTAACAGGGTCAGAGGTTTTAAAAATGATGTATCATAAGTACAGTCAGGAAGCTCTGGTGGCACTGTGGGATAAGCATTGAGCTGCTTACAGCAAGGTTAGCTGTTCAAACCCACCCGGGCAGTTCTACTCTGTCACACAGGGTCTCCATGAGCCCAAATCCATTTGACAGCAGTGAGTTTGCTTTAGGCACAGGTACAATACTTTCTTAAAAGTATTCAAAGTCCTCATAGAGTTCAGAAGTCATCTCTTTTTCTTCTTTCCCCATTCAAGAGATTGTGCTTACCAGCCAGTCCTGTGCCGACTGCAATAGTAAAGAGTGAGTGATCAGTTACGTTTCCTGTATAGTCATCTCTTCTCCTCGTACACTTCCTTATTTCTCTTAGAATACAAGAAGGTTTCATTCGCTTTTTGAGGGGAGGGGAATGAAACCCAAACTCACAGGAACTTCTGGTGGGGAAAACTGAGTGTGCTTGTGTATATATCTATATTTGCATCCATACTCACACACACATACACATGGGGTATTCACGAAGTTGGTGGAAAAATGTAATTAAAAGATAATGGAATTTCCCCACAAACTTTTTGAAGCACCTTCTGTATCTATCTATCTATCTATCTATCTATCTATCTATCTATCTATCTATCTATCTATCTCCTATCTTACATGGTAAAACTATCATAGAATTTTCACTTATTCAAAAAGAAATCAAAATTCAATTTTATTCAAGCAAGAGAAATCCAAGAAATTACAAAGAAACATGCAAATGATAAACTAAACATATTCACAAGGATTTCAGCCCCCCCTATAAAGGATAATTCAAGGTCCAACTCAAAACTGTGAACCTACACAAAAGAGGGCAAATCTAGGAAATAAAAGAATGATTAGGAGCCCATTAATCACACTGATGGACTTTGGAGTACATCAACTTTGATTGAGACCTATAATCAAGTATAGTACACTACAGTGCCAAGCTCTAAAAAAACCTTCTTTATGGACTCAAAATGTTAAAAGACCATAATTCTTTGTGAAATAGAATAGAGATAATCAATCACTCTCTCTCTCTCTCTCTCTCTCTCTCTCTCTCTCTCTCTCTCTCTCTCTCTCTGTTCCTGTACTTTTAAAAGAAACCACTTCCTGGTCAAGAAAAACAAACACACTTCTGTGTGCACACATATTAATTAATACTGACATTCAAACGTCCTATGCAGAAGACAGGCTTAGACAACATTTTCACAGATTAGTCCTTAGAGGAGATGCCTAAAGACTTCTTGGGGCCTTTGGAAATGATTTGATTCCTTCTTCAGTGAAATAGATTTCCTATTCCTTTCTTTGCATTCTGGAATCTGTTCACTCTATAATTCAAATTATTTTCCATGGTCTATCAGTACTTTTCATGCACTTAAGTGCTCAGCCTATTCTGGTACACATAGCAGAATTCTGTACATTTATAATGTGTATATGTGTTTTCCCTTCCAAGGAGCCAAGATTAACCAAGAAAATTGGGAAACCTGTGATAACTTGTACTCTGAGAAGAATTTCACTATTTTATGACTTAACAAAATGAATTTATTACAGTTTGATCTTCATTTTCCTACTGGCAAATACTTAAAAAAATATGTTCAAGTACTACATTCAAACTCCAAAGAAAAATATACACATTAGTGTATACCCCCTACACACACACACAGGCACACACATACTGCAAAGAATATTAAAAACTCCAACCAGAAGAATGTCATTCATTAAAACCAAAATGGCAATATCATTGTCAGGTTTCCTGTTAAAGAAAAGGACATTAAAGAGAGAGGTTTTATAGACTTGAATCCTATAAAATGAAATTTAAATGTACTTTTATAATTTCTAGTAGTTATAGTAACATTTATATACATAATAGCTTTAGTGAACGTAATTCACCTACCATCAAATTCACCCTTCTAAAAAGTATATAATAGTTCTTACGATGGAACTTCCAAACAACTCTTCCTTGCCCTTTAATTTGATATTAATTTGCACTCACTATGAAACGACTGAACCAACCTCTGGTTGCAACAAATTCATCACAATCTCCTTCACTTGCTGCATGTGCAGTTTTTTTTATATCATTGAAAAGGTTTCAAGTGTTTTCTTGCCTTAAACCCATTGCCACTGAGTCTATTCTGACTCAACCGCATATAAGGTTTCTTCGTCTGCAAATGTTCATGGGGGCTGTTAGCCTCATCTTTCTCCAAGGAGCAGCTGGTAGGTTTAAACTGCTGACCTTGAAGTTAGCAGCCCAACATTTATCCCACAGTTCTTGCACTAACCAAACCAAACTCACTGCCCTTGAGTCAATTCCGACTCATAACAACCCTATGGGATGGGGTAGAGCTACCCCAGTGGTTTCTTGAGACTCCAATGCTTTTGGGGAGTAGGTAAGGTTAAATAAGAACGTGATGCACCTGTTCCAACTCACCTACAATTCCACCTGCAGACACAGTCAGAAACAGATCTCAGTTGTAACCTGGGGATTTCCTTAGTTCGAGTTGTGTAACCATCGCCACAAGAGCCCAGGTGGCACAGTGCTTATCAGTTGGACTACTAATTGCAAGGTCAGCAGTTTGAAACCAACAGGTGCTCTGAGGGAGAAAAAGGAGGCTCTCTACTCTGTAAAGGAGTTACGTTCTCAGAAACTCACAGAGGCAGTTCTACTCGGCCCTATAGGGTCTCAATGACTTGATAGCAGTGAATTTGGGGCAAAACAATCTAATCTCAGAATATTATCCACACCCCAAAAGGAAACACCACTCGTCATTCCCTCCTTCTCCCTCCCGTCCCTAGCCACCAGGAATCGACTTTCTGTCTCTATAGATTGGCCTCTTCTGGAAGTTGCATGCAAATGGAATCATAAATGTGTGGCCTTTTGTGTCTGGCTTCTTTCATCTAGTACACAGTTTTCATTGTTTAACAATGTTGTTGCAAGTATCAACACTTCATCCTTAATCCTAATAAAATTCTATTACACAGATAGGCTATAGGTTCTTTGTACATTCATCAGCTGATGAACATTGGAGCTGTTTCCACTTTGGGGTTAAGAACATCCATACACAAGCTTGTGTATGGGCATATGTGTTTAATTCCCTTATATATACACCTACAATTGGAATTGCTGCATCTAATGGTAATGCTATGTTTAAATTTGTGAAGAACTGCCATACTTTTCTAAAATAGCTGTGCCAGTTTACATTCCCATCAGTAATGTGTTGTGGTTCTAATTTCTCTACATCCTCACCACTTGCTATTGTCTGTTTTGATTATAATACTAGGATTACAGTATTAATCACTCACTCACTCACTCACTCTCTTACGCTCTTCCACTGTGTTGATTCTGACTTTATAGAGCAGAGTAAAGCTTTGGGTTTCCAAATTTTATTTTATTTTTTTTTACATAAACAGACAGCCTAATTTTTCTCCCGTGGAGAAGCTTGTATGTTCAAACTACTGACCTTGTAATTAGCAGCCTAATGCATAACACACTACACACACCACAGCCAGGGCTCCTTAGGTCTCCTTTAGTGCAGAGCTACTTATTTGTATCTGGCTCTAGCTTCTTACATTAAAACAGCACACGACATTTCCACAGTTCATTTCCCAACACCTTGAGGGCAATGTATCATGTTTTTTACATTGTATCCTAGCAAGCGAATGCAAGGGGAATCTCACCTCAGTGCAAGCCAAACTATTACAAAGAAATGAAAATGTCAAGCACCCAATCTAGAAGTGACGATAAATCTAGCATTTTTTTCTTGTGATGTGGAGCCTTGTTCTTCAAACATTCCACACCTTAAGAGAAAATAATGTCTAATGAAACTCTGGATCTATAGAGACAATAAGTAGGATAAGGTTTCCTGGGGGGTATGATAGGGAAGGTGGGGGCAGGTAATGGGGAGCTGATATCAAGGAGTACAAGAAAGAAGAAAATGTTTTGAAACTGATTGTGGTAGTGATTGTACAACACAGCTTGATCAGACTGAACTATTGAATGGTATGATGTCTGGATTATGTCCTAATAAAACAGTTTGGGATTCAGTCTAGCTGCTTGCCTGGTTTCCATTCATTAAGCTGGGAAGTTTTTCTTATGGAAGGGTTGTGGGGAGGAGACGAGCCAGTCAGGGTGCAGTGTAGCAACGATGAAACATACAACTTTCCTCTAGTTCTTAAATGCTTCCTCCCCAACCCTCCACTATCATGATCCCAATTCTACCTTACAAATCTGGCTAGACCAGAGGATGTAGACTGGTACAGATAGGAACTGGAAACACAGGGGATCCAGGACAGATGATCCCTTCAGGACCAGTGGTGAGAGTGGCGATACTGGAAGTTAGAGGGAAGGTGGGGTAGAAAGAGGGGACTGATTATAAAGGTCTCTATATAACCTCCTCCCTGGGGGATGAACAACAGAAAAGTGGGTAAAGGGAGATGTCGGATAGTGTAAGATATGACAAAATAATAATTTATGGATTATCAAGGGTTCATGAGGGAAAGGGGAGCATGGAGGGAGGGGGGAAATGAGGAGCTGATGCCAGAGCCTTGGGTGGAGAGCAAATGTTTTGGGAATAATGAGGGCAATGAATATAAGAATGTGCTTTACACGATTGTTGTGTGTATGGATTATGATAAGAGTTGTATCAGCCCCTAAAAATAAAATGGTTTAAAAACAAAGTTTGAAAAAAGAAGAAGAAAAGAATATCTAGAACAAGCAGCAAGTTGGAGAAGGGCTAGCCCAGTGGTTCTCCACCTTCCTCATGCTGCGACCCTTTCATACAGTGCCTCATATGGTGCTGACCCACCCAATCATAACATCATTGTCGTTGCTACTTCATAACTGTCATTTGGCTACTGTTATGAATCATAATGTAAATATTTGATATGTAGGATGTATTAGG